TATAATATTGTAAAAAGGTGTCAGCGTCTTGTAAAATGTAGCAAAGTGAACTCAAAACCAGTTTCAACCCTTCCAGTTTATTTAAAATTGCAGGTTTATCACAGATTGGAATAAAAGACATATCGAACAAAATTTTGCCCATAGACAATTCAATCTGCATGTAGTTTTCTGGAGACAAAACTTTCTACTTACATTAGAAATACACCTGTACAGTTTCAAAGTCATTTTACATTAAATTTGTATTTAAGCTATACACAACTTGCAATGTTGTAATTGAGCATATACAAATCCTACTGTACATATAGAAAAATACAGTCAAGTTTAATTTAAATATATTTACAAATTAGACATTTAAGTTCTTGTTTAAATAAAGAGCCATAAAAAATATTTACTTGTATGTTTCTCATTTGTTGTTTCGTCTATGGTACAGTGTTAATTGCATTATCTCTCTCTCTCTCTTTTTTTTTTTTGTTTTACAAAAAATATTGGAGTACTTTCCCTTTGTACAAATTGTTTTTCCAAATTTTTTTGACAAAAGTCAATCAAATACAAGTGAGATTTTTTGGTAACAATTATTCTCGTTGGCTAATGAGTTTTCTTTGATGTAAGTTAGGTGAATTCTTCCTTCCATCCCGTTCCCAGAACCCACTGCTATCCATTGTCACTCAATAGCAGAAAGAGCTGTGAGTAGGTAACACAGAGTCAGTACATGATTGCAAGTGAGTGCTTCCTTAGGTTGCCTCTAGAGTTTATGTTTGACAGCACCATCCACCCCGATCTTCAGGGAGTTAAGCCCTGGGTATCTTAAGTCTTTGACTCTGACTTCGGAAAAGATTTAAGAGACCCAGGATGCTCCTGAGTCTACCTGTTGTTGGTGATAATGGCTGCTGTTTTGGTAACTACAGTGAAAGCTCATTATCAGAATCATTACTTCACCCTGATCAAGACTTCCCCTACAGTTGTCAAAACATAGCTCACTTTCACCTTAAACAGTCCTCTCAGGACTTCCCCCAGAAGAAATCACCCTGTAAAATAAAATTTACCCCTGTGTTCATCCTGCACACATCACTGCCTCATGTCTGCCATTATAATTGATTGCTGTGCATCACAAAAATAATTGTACCGACTCATAGCCAAACCATTCTCTATTTAGCAGTTTCTCAGTTTAAGTGGTTTGTAACAACTGAAACATTGACAGCCTCACTTTGTTTCCACCTTATTTAAGCCTTGACTTATTGAAATGTTAAGTTGGTGACAGCTTCTTAAATGGTTATTATGTCCGACTTGTTCTTTCACATAAAATTAGTGATAGGAAAATGTAAATAAAAAATGTACAATACTGAAAATGTGTTGTTGAGACATCACTAGGAATGTTTGATGGGCAGATCAATTAAAAAAACCATTCTTAATGGCTCAGTAAAGGGTTTATATTGAATCAATTAGAAACCATCCACAGTTTTATTATCTCCTTAACTGATAGTACATAACCCCACATAAACTAAAAGGTGAAAAAAATTAGAACATTGCAATGGATGATGAAATATTTGAGATCACATGAATACCTTGCACACACACACACAAACCCTGACTTTACTACAAATAACATTCAGTTTATAAAATTTATTGAAAAACAATGAGTTGCTGGACTAACGACTAAACTGAAAGTGGTAGAGAAGTTAAATCTTCACTGTCACCTACTCACCCTTTGGATTGACCATTTGTTCTGTTTTCAAAGAACTTAATGTTCAGCAGATCTGTTACACCACACTCTTGCAAATATTCTGTTAATTCTTGATCATTTGTCCACTAAACAAGGAAAAAAAACAAAAATCCATTCAAGATTTAATTTTCCAATGCTAGGAACAATAAATTACCTGCAAATCTGATATTTGCACATTAAAACAACATGAAATGATTTTCAGACATCTTAACACCATCTGCATGACCAAAAGCCCTGTTTTACAATGATCACTTTGCTTGACATTTTCCCTTACAGCTCTGAAGCCAGAATGGTACTGCTTAGCCCTTTAACCCCAAAGATCTGATTGCTAATTCTCCCCTGTAGCTGCTACAAATTTCCTTGTAAATTAGTAATCAGAATTTCATGTTAGATCACGACAACAACTTATATCAGATAAGTTTGAGTATTTCTATTATATAATTGCTGGATATTGAATGGTTATTATAAGGAGAAGTTACTTGTGAATCTCTTTTGGGAGTTAAAGGATTAAGACCTAAGACTTAACTAAAACTCAAGAACTGTTCTTTTCAAATTTAAAACAACAATAATAATAATAATAATAATAATAATAATAATAATAATAATAATAATGATAATAATAAAAGGAAAAACAATTTCCTTTCCAGGAAATTAAAAAAAGTGATCAATTGCCCTCAAACATGGTAATTGTGATGCCTTAATGGGTCATGATTAGGGGTTTCAGCAATTCTTTCCAAAGAAAAAAGAAAAATAATCCCCTCAACTCCAAATGAAGAGGCAATCCAGGTGGAGCATTCTCTCCTCAGATGTTCTGGGACTGAGCTCAGCCTGTCAGCAATCACAATTCACTGTCAATAAACTACACTAGCCATTGATGATATTCTTATTAGAAATCTAACATACCCATGTCAAGTTGCCAACATATAGGGGTTTTCCTTTGTTTCTTTCATAGTAGGTGTGTGAGATTCGTCCTGCTGCTGATTTAGGATGGACTGTTGTGTATGATTTGTATTCATAAACTCCTATAGAAAGACAGTTAAAATCAAACACATATTATACTCTCAAGTGAAAGACAATTTATTGAAATATAAATTAGATTATTAACCTTCCTTCAATATTTAGCACTATGTACCTTGCTGTACTGGCATGGCTGGTTCAGGAGCAATATCAACTGCAACGACGTCGTCTTCATACTATAAAATTAATGATATTACAACTCTTAAGCAATAAGTACAGTTACAGAATGCAGAGGTTTCATTAAGGGGCAGGCAATGGGCAAATTGACATGCTGTGACTTTGCCCAGCTGCTTCATCATATTTTACATAGGTGCCCCTACTTTAGCAAGGCTGGATGCCTAGATGTCATATCCTGGTACCCTCTTACAAAACATGCTTTATAAATGTCTCATTCTGTAAAACACTCAGAAAATATAAAATTAAGCATGTGGAGCATCCTGTAGCAAAATTGATCTGTTATTCCCACCAGAGTCAAAATATTAGAAGGTTCCTGAATACAATCTAGTCAGAAACTGCTACTCTGATTGAGTGCTTGCAGTACTTTCCTTATTTTACAGTGAAAGAACTAAGTTTCCAAACTGGCAAATATGTAGTATTGGCAGATGAATTTTCAAGAATCCAAAATGGTAGCAGGTACTAATAAAGAGATCGCAAGTAGCAAATTTTACCTTGCTGACAACATTCAGTAAGAAGAACATTGAGTTTCAAACAGGAAACACCAGTTTACTTTAAACTAGTAACAATAAGCAAAGATGATTTTTTTTTTTGGAAGTATGCAGGTTGCTAAGGAATACAAAGTGCAGAAGCAATCGGTCATTGCAAAAATTCATCATTGCTCTATGTGATGTCATGCAAATACTTGGCTTGAGTGTACAAAAATAAAATAAGGTCTGATAGAACTCTAGGTAGATTTTTCCATACATGTGCTTGTAACGCTTCATCCTCAACTCCTCCAGTTGTTAGTACATCATCATACAGGTCCAAGCCTTCACTTCCAAGGTGCTATTGATAAAAAATGACAAAAAGTTGTTTCATATGTGCAAGGCTTTCAGGAATGTGTATAATCAGTGGCTGCACCGAGTGGAATAGTACTGAGAAATTTTAAAGGATCAATGTCTTTCTTTTATCCCTATAGTGCTAAAAGGCCTGTTAACCCTTTAACTTCTAAGATCTGATTGTTAATTCTTCCCACTAGCCACTACACATTTCTTGGTCAATAAGTTACAAAATTTGGTGCTAGATCAAGATAACAACTGCCTGATAAGTTTGAGTATTCTCATTACCTGTTTGCTGGTTAATGAATGGACATTATAGGGAGAAGTTACATGTTAATCACTTCTGGGAGTAAACAAAGTAAGCACAAGAGGACCATTGCTAACCACCATTTGATGCTACCCAACCACTAAGGCCTTATCTTAACTGACACATTTTCTTCAATCAAAAATCCTTTCTTTGAAATGCACTATTGCCCATTGCCCAAGCTTAAATGCCCTAGAATCAATGGATGAAATAGGAATTTTTCTTTAAAAAAGTGAAGTTTTCGCAGATTGTGGGCCTTTATAACACAGATGTTTCAGTGTGGAGATGTGGAGATGGCGTTTGCAAAGTTGATCCTTTAAAGAAAATGGAAAACTTCCAATTCCATTGTTTTAAAGTAAAGGATTACCAAAAAGAAAACTCAAAAGCACATATGCAATGCAACAAAGTGACAGCAAGAGTACAAGCAGTCTGACAAGCCACGTGAAAAATTAGCTGACTTATACTTTTTTCAAATTGATAACTTACCAAACCTTGTCTTCTTTCAGAAAATTTAGACACTATCTTGCAAAGGACATACCCATCGTATTCCACAATAGATCTTTTTTTGCGAATTTACTCATAAGTAACTTACTCATTAGTAACTTACTCAAAAGGCTAAATATTTAGTATTTTTGTTGGTTATTTGCAAGTCTGTCAAACAAAATATCTACGTACGCGCGGTAAGTTCTTGGAAGCTAGTAAACTCAGCACCTAAAATGATCCCTAAATCTTACCTGTCCAGTCACTTCTGGCTCAAATTCATCTACTGTTGCATACAAATCAATGTCAACACCACCTTCACCAGCCATAACGTAGACTTATTGGCCGAAAATATACCTCAACAACCACCTCAAACAATATGGCGGCAAGGTATCGTGGGCAAGCATAAAACACGTGTTTTCAGATTTCAAGGGTTTCTGGGAGTTTGTAACGCCTGGTGAATTTTGACAGATGCGAGTTAATGGTTGACTTCCACTTTATCGATCCTTTCTTGTATTGTTAAAATTACTCACTCTTTTTTAGATCACTAGTAAAAAATTGTTCTGAAATACTGGTAGCCGTACAAGCGTTATGGCGCACCGGAAACTGAGATGTTTGAAACTCCTGCCTATTGAAAGCATAAGACTTTCACCTGTAGCTACTTTTGGGCATTTTTAGCTGGACAAATTCAGAACAACGATATCAGGATGCCTGCCAAGATAAAAGTTCGCATTGTAGCTGCTCGAGATCTCCCTGTAATGGATCGATCGAGTGACTTAGCAGACGCCTTTGCAGAGGTAAGAAATTTCTTAAAAATCAATAACTCATGCATGATTGTTTTGTTTATATAATATTCCTTTTGAATTTTTAAATATGTTGTTACATGAAATTAGTTCAACGAGGAAGCCTTAAAGAGTTGTATAAACTAACAGAAGAGCTAAATTTTGCGTTAAAACTATTTCTTGTATTAGGTTCGTCTTGGTAATGTGCTGTATAAGACAGATGTGTGTAAGAAGTCACTCAATCCTCAGTGGAACTCGGAGTGGTTCAGATTTGAGGTATAAACTTTCATTGTTAACAATGATGGATATGATTTATCATAAAAATAATTTTTTTGGAAAGCTTTAATTTATCATAACTGATCATCTTTTGGCCAGGCTGATGATGAAGAGATTCAAGATGAACCTCTGCAGATCAGGTAAAATGAATAGTTGTGTAAATGAGGAACATACAGCTGTAGCTAGTTGATTCTACCTAAACAGCCACCTCTATAAGACAGACACATTCCTTTATATGAGCTCTTAAAGTTAGCCCTTTAACTCCCGGATAAAATTTGTAATTCTCCTCACTGTCAACCATACAGTTCTTATAATGTTTGTTCTGAGAATTAACTATTGTATCAACTGATTATCCCCAAATTGATATTTTTCTTAATTCTCATCACTTATCTGGTTGATATTGTATTGATATTATAAGGAGAAATTCTGTCTTGGTCACTCATGGTAGTTAAAGGGTTAAGTGTTGGGAGTGTTACTGCTTGAGGGTTTAATACTTACCTGACCTGACTGGGCTAATAATGGTCAGGGGCTATTTCTAGTTTTTTGGGCATGCTGCTCCCCTTTGGATGGGGTGGAGGGAGGCACAGTGGTCTTATATGATTAGTGCACTGGACTCAAGGTGTAGTGGTTCAGGTTCAAGACCAACCTTGCTCCTAAGGTCTCTCTTCTTCACTTCCTTTTGGGAAGAGAGAGCGAGAGGAAGGGAAGAAGAGAGACCCTGGAAACAAGGTTGATTCAAGATCTGGCCAGGTCATTGTGTTGTGTTCTTAGTCTTAAAACTTTAGTCTGCAGTACCTCTCACCGCCCAGGATTATTACAATGCTTCATGGGGATAGGCTGTGGCTGGATGGGTCACTTGACTTGAGTACAGAATTTACCACCAGATGGGATGCTAATCCCCTTCCTTCCATCTCTCCTCCCCCCTCTCACCTCTCACATCCCCCTTCCCTAGAATTTCATCTCATGGGTAGAGAAAGACATCACAAAATGAATCCAAAAATGGATTAATCTTGATCAGGGTTGGAAAAAAAGATGACTTTGTGTGCAGTTTAGTTTGCTGAACAATCTGAATATTAGCCTACAGCATCTACAACCAGTTAAGAGTAGCACAATTCTTAACTTTGATTGAAAACCCCGAAGGTACTAGAAAAGTAGTGCCATATATGTAGGTGTATTTAAAATTCATTTCACATTAAATTGTGATTTATATTAATTTTTCTGTTATCCAGAATCATGGACCATGATACTGTGACTGCCCATGATGCTATTGGAAAGGTGAGTTTCTTTCTTTATCATGGCTCCAAGCTGCAACCCTTTTGATTGCCATGGTGTATAAGAAAAAAAAGTGGCTTCAATTTGGCCAAAAAGCTTTACTTTTCTTGGATTTCTTTTCATTACTATATTTGAAGTTTTGCCAAACTTTGTCTTTTTCTCCTTATTTGTCCTAATATTAAGTCTTTACTAGATGTCCTTAAAAAAATTTCATCTTTTTCCCTGGTAACTGAAATGTTATTCCAAGAGAGATTTTATTATTTCATGTCCCTAAATGGCCATTTTAAAAATAGTACTGTTGGGTGCCTTGTTGTAATTTTTCTTACCTAAGCTGTGAAATGTAACTAATACAAGATAACACTCCAAATGGAAATAGGCATGATCATCATTTTTCTTTGTTATCTCTTTTTTAAGGTAAATATAAGTCTAGGTCCTCTGCTAACGCAAGATCCACCAGGGAGTATTGATGGGTGGTTTCCAATTTATGACACAATGCATGGTATGTTCTTTAGTTTTCCAAGGAATAATTCCCTGAAATACCTGCAAAATATTTAAATCATAGTCCTTACAGTGGACTTCTTGTTTCACTCTGAGGTAGGGCTACACTCAAAACATCAGCTCTGAAACTCTTTGTAGTGGCCAATTTACATTATCAACTTGAATGATAAAACAAAATTGTCGTTTTACAGCAGACGTCTGCCAAATATGTGATGCATATTATTTACAGCCTTCCAACCCTTTGCTCCCTAGGAGTGACAAATATCTAATTTCTCCTTTCAATATCACCCCAGAATCAAACATTAAGGTCATGAGTTGTGAGAATGAAGGAAATGATCACCTACTAAAAGAAACTCTAGACTGTTGAACAAATTCTTCTTGAGCATCAGCAGCTTAGGAAATGAAAGGAGAACAGTATATAGAATATGGATACTGATTCTAGGGTATAAAAGGTTAACCAGTAGCAACTTCTGTCAGTAGTATATTTAAATACAAATATTGAAACCAAAAATAAAATAATTATGATCTTAGTAATGTGCAACTATTTTAGAAAAACTTAATATTTATTTCTGAATTTTTAGGCATTCGTGGGGAAGTGAGTGTTATTGTTAAAGTGGATTTTTTCGTTGACTCTAACAAGTTTCGACAGAGTTCATGCGGTGTGCAGTTCTTCTATAGTAAGTAGAATTCTGAAATGATACAATTCTTGCATAATTCCACAGAATGTACAGAAGTAGATGCCAAAAGACAGTGAAATTAGTATAATAGTAAGTTGATTAACAAATCCCTTTATATATAATATGAGCAGACAATTTGCTCATATTAATTGGCCAGAAATTACAGTAAATGAATACAACCATTTTCAGCAGACCCAAGCCTTAATGTTCATTTTAACTAAAATTTGTCTTGCAAGGTTATGATATAATTAAAAGTATGAGAGAGGTTATCTGAATTTAATTGACAGTATCTAAAAATCACTTATCAAGCCCTAATCTTGCAAGGATATTTCCTGAGTTCCTATCAGTGATGATGTATCAAATTCAAGAATGCTAGCAAGGGTGTCTCAAAACATTACAAACTTTAATCTAGAGGAAGTTGTTTTTTCTTCTTGTCACAAGCATGAGACAAAGAAAACTTCTGAGTCCCCATGAGAAATCGAACCTCAATCCTTCAGATTCTGTGCTCTGATGCTTTTTTCCACTGAGCCACAGAGACTCTACAGTGAGAGAGGTCTATTACAAAGTTCATATGACACAAGTCCTGCATACTTAATATGTATTTGTATCCTATATTTGTATCTTATATCTTATTGCTTCTTTTTACTGTATGAAAAAATGTAATTTAAGGTAAAGGGCATCTAATTAGCTTGCTATATTATGCCCTTCTCCATCCTCTTATCTTACTTGTAATTATTCATTAGACTCTAATCTGTTGAAATGGAGGAAAAATAAATACCGAAAAAATACAGTTCAAAATAACTAAAATGAAACATGCATGATTCCCTGTTACTCTGAGTTTCGTGCTTACACCAAAAAAATTTATATATATATATGTCAGCAATGTCAATAGCCTCATGTTTGTAAATAGAATAAGAGAGATGTAAGGGCATTGGAATGCAGAATCTGAAGGTCTGAGGTCGATTTTTCATGAGGACTCACAATTTTTTTCTTTGTCCCACACTCATGACAAGACTAAAAAACAACTTTCTCTATTTCTTTATGTTCTCTATTTCTTTATGGAGTTCAAAAAATTAAAAACTTACTCTCTCTTATTCTATTTATAACAAACTTTGTATCACAGTGTAAAATTTGAACTCTATATTTCAGCTTGTTCTGTCCCATCTGGTCATAAAGCTCTAGCTATTCATGGTTTTGTTGAGGAGCTGGTTGTTAATGATGATCCAGAATATCAGTGGATTGATAAGATCAGAACACCAAGATCTTCTAATGAAGCACGGCAGAGACTATTTACCAAACTTTCAGGTTCATGAGAATCACTGATCTTCTGTTAATTGTAAACACTTCCACAGACTGTCTTACGGGGAAATAAAATATATATTTAAACTTACATATATTTTGTGGAGTTGGACTCACAAAAATTATTGAAGCCAGGAGTTTCAATAACGTTTTCCACGAGCGACTGCTAGAGGTATAATAGGTTGCTTTGCCTGAAAAAGAAACTGTAAGGCCAAATGAAACTCAAGAGCCTGCTTGCAGGCCAAACAGATAGCAGTAAGATGTGTTTTAAGCTGTGGTAGACTACCAGATACTGGCTTTTATTGAAATCCCTGAGAAGTAAATACTTTTGCCACAAAGGACTCTTTGTTCATACTTACTTATAACTTACACTTAACATTTATTAGGTTATTGAACAAACTAATCATAAATGATCAATTAATACAAATGCAGAGAATTAACCTTCCAAAGTGTAATTATGTATTATTTTTTCACTGCAAAATGACCAAGACTTGATCACCAATTTTTTTCTAAATAGGAGAACTGCAAAGAAAAATCGGTCTTAAAGTTTTAGAGGCTGGAGGAAATGCTGTTATTGGGTAAGATGTTCACTTTTTACAAGAAAGGAAGTTTTTGTTGAGTTAAGATATGGTGCTTTAACTTAACCCTTTCACTTCAAAGATCTCATCAGTAATAAAGGGAGAAGAGAATTATTCTCCCTTATTGACTCTCTCATACAATTTTAATAATGTTCGTCGGAGAATCTGGTATTGGATCAAATAATAATCCCCACATGATATTTTTTGTTATATTCCCATCACTTGTCTGCTTGATATTACCTTGATGCTGTAGGAGAAATCTTGTCTTGGTCATTCTTTGGAGTCAATGGTTTAAATCTGCACATGACTTGTTTTTATTATAAGTTATAATATCTCAGCTAGTGTACTGTAATGCCCAGAGTGTAGCTGGCATGGGTTTATTGTTTTCATCTTGCTCTTTCACTTTCTTTTGGTCAGTTATCGGCAGTGTTTTGACCTGGAGGGTGAATATGGAATTGTAGTGCGAGGTATTGGGACTGCTGTGACACTAGCCAGTGTTCTTACTGCAGTGAGCGCCAATTCACGCCCATCAACACCTGTCCATCCATTAACTTCATCAGGAGAAGTTGGTCCTGGAAGCCATGTCTCAGACTCAGGGTGAGTTGCTCAGTGAAGTGTGATGGTCCCTTAGTTTATAGCACCCAGTAATCTTTCAGGAGAAGAAACTTTTGATATGTTATGTGCATAATCAATCAATTCAGTTGGAGGTTACCTCTGAGTTTTGTGTGCTTACTGTGCATGGACCTTGCAATCTGTGAAAAATCAACACAGTAAGATACAGCAATCAGTGGTAGACAAATAAAGGGGGTAAGTTTCTACTGTAGAGAAACTGCAGTTGTGCTTTATCAGTGGAGGTATTACTGACAAGACAGTTTGGTTTTATCAGCTGACAGAGTTGTTAAAATGTAAACAGGTTCAGGGAAAGAGTTTCTGAAGCTGATGTTTTGATCAAATAGAAGAATTGTGGATTGTGTGTGGTTTATACATAGAAAGATGATGCCACTCTGTTGGTGTAAACATGGTAACATGGAGGACATAAGTTAGAATAAATTGATGAATGAAAAGCATCTATTGATACTGTAGAGATTAAGAGTACTGATTTTAATGATATATTTTTGTTCTGGAGTTTTACAATAATATCTCTATAGATGGAAATAAGTGGGCCACATGGAAAATTTTTTTGGCCATCTTTCACTCTCTCTCTCTCTCTGAAATTTCAGCCTCCACCACCTATGATCATGATAATGATGTTGATGCAAATTGACCTCTTTCATTATGGCAGGCATGATAACATTATCATAAATTCTTTTATTTTCTTAAAAATGAGTATTCTTGGCCTAATGCTTTGGACCAAAAATTTTGTGTTTTTAAGCATGTTACCAGTAATCGGAGACTAGAAAGGCGTGATTTTACATGATAAATGAAAGAATATGTGAGGCCCATAATTTAGAGTTAAGGTTTGTGTGACATGCAGTTTTTGATAAAAAATTTGTTTCCAGGTTTATCTTCCCAGAGACACAGCAAAGCTTACCAGTTCCATCTACTAAAGTTGTGACTCCCTCCCGTCGCCGTGTTTCATCTTCTGATTCTGATACAATACCAGATTCTCCCCCAAAAGGTAAAATATATTCAAATATAATATGCATGGGCTCCTGATGGAAATTATGCCATAAGAGGATTTTTTTTCAAGAATTGTGAAACTTATTTTGAGTGTTACATGATACTGTGAAGACAATATTTTACATACCTGGTTTTTTGTTCATATTTAGACCGTGTCGCTCTTCTGGCAAGCAGTGCAGGAGTTGATGGTAGTGGTAGTAGTGCGGGGGGAACTTCTTTTCCCAGAGCTAAGGGAATTTGGCAGTCAGTCATTCAAAAACAGAAAACTGTGGAAGATCTGGTAATTTTACTACTAAGAATGTTAAGTAAAATTTAATGAGAAATTTGGAAAATATTAGATTTGTACTTCTCAATGACTTATTAGGGGGCTATGTTTTTTTTATTTTGTCAAATGAACATGGTCAGAATAAGCTGAGAAATACAATTGTTTAAAGATATATTTTCAGCCTCTCAAATGCACTTAGTGGTTTTTTTTTCTTCTCCTTAAATTGGGAGTGCAAGGAAAAAATATTTGCAGAGTGTGAGTTGCATTTAACATGCAGGACTGATTTACATGCAGCATGCTATAGATATTTTTTTCTGGTCATGTATGATGCAAGATTGGCATCTGCCTTGTGCCTTTCTACTTGTGAGTTATGTGTTGTGTACACTTGATACTTGTGGCTCTTCACACTTATATGCATCAGAATAGCACACAATACAAAGTGGCTGGACTTTCACAACACTGATGTTTGATGCATGATGATGCCCGTTTGTATATTAGACTGAATTACAGACTGAACCAATGAACTATAATATCTTGTAACCCTCAAACTAACAGAAGGGATTAAATATAATTATCTTTCTCCCCAATATTAAAACAATTTCAAGCAAATGCTGGAAGATGATAGAAAAACATGACATGTACAGGTAGAGGGTGTCATCTTGAACTAAAATCAAATTCTCTTCTAATATCACCCCAACATAAGTATCCTTGTTCTCCATACTCTTCTTAATACATTTCCCTTGGCACTGAGAAGGAGAATTTGTATGACAATCAAAGCTTCTAAGGGTGACTATCATTTCCGTTATTCTCATGATCTTAATGAATAATTCAGTAGCATTACTGAAAGGAGAAATTAGATGCTGGTCACTACTGGAGTTTAAAGGGTTAAGTTACAACCTGTAAAGGAGTTTATGCAATTCAGTGGGGAAATTTAAACATGGTATTTGGAGTTAAAATCCCCAGACATGGATGATGACTTCTGAGGTATATTATTTTACAGTGATTAATAAAAAGCAAAAAATATATTCATCTTTTAGTATGATACTTTAAATTTCAGGAGTTTCCTTTCTTCACCATCACAAAATTCCCTCCTGGTTTCCTGAGGCACATTGGTGGAGTTGTAACTGCAAGATCTGTGAAGCTTCTGGACAAAATCAATCATCCAGGTACAATTTGAAAACTGCAATTCAGAGTACAACAAATAAAATCTCTTTAGTGTAAAATTTTCTCTACCTATTTTTTTCAGCTTCTGAATCACTCTTTCCTCTGAATAGCTAATTTATCATACTGCAGCCATAGAGCATTATCTTAGTATATAATTTACAGTGAACTGCAGTGTAAGCTCTGATATGGAATATTAATTTGATTTTCTGTCTTATAGATGAACCAGAAACTCGTGATGCATGGTGGAGTGAAGTGAGAATGGAAATTCGATCTCATGCCAGAGCTCTTGCCTGTCATGCCGTGGTGGGATATTATGAAGTTACTAGCATATGGTGAGCTATTTTAACCCTTTCACTCCCAAGATCTAATTAGTAATTCTCCTTAATATCTGCCATATGCATACAATTCTCATGATGTTAGTTCAGAGAATTTGGTATTGGATCAACTAATAATCCCATGATTGATATTCTTCTCTATTCTCATCACCTGCCTGCTTGATATTGTATTGACACTGTAAGGAGAAATTCTGTCTTGGTCACTTGTGGGAGTGAAAGGGTTAACCCTTTACACCCTAACATCAGTATCCATGTTCCATGCTCTTCTCTATAAATTTTGTTTGACATGGACAAGGAGAATTAACTTTTAACATTCAAAACTTCTTAGGCTGGCAATTATTTCCTTCAGGTTATTCTCATGATTTTAATGAATGATCCAGCAGTACTACTGTAAAGAGAAGTGAAACGTTGGTCACTCTTAAGGTTTAACCCTTGAACTCCCAAGATCTGATTGTTAATTCTCCCCTCTAGCTGCTTCACATTTCCTTGTAAATAAGTCATGAGAATTTTGTGTTAGATCAAGACTACTAACCTCTACCTGACAAGTTTGAGTATTCTCTTTACATGTTGGGTGGATAATGTGTGGATGTTACAAGGAGAAGTTACTTGTTAATCACTTGTGGGAGTTAATGGGTTAAAGGGTTTAGTCTTCTTCAGTACTTTTCTTTCTCTCTTTTCTATGATATCTGTTGAACTTTCATTCTGTGACTATAACTATCATGATTATTGATACAGATGTTACTTTGCAGTGATGAGCTGATAGTGCTGTCAGCATCAGGAACAGCAGCATGTATAGACCTACAACTGGCTACAGGAGAACCTACTGGAGTTGGTCTTGGCATTCTCTGTATGTGTATGGTTACTTTAAGTGTACATCAGTAGAAAAACACTTAAGTTAGCGAAATTCACAGACTGATAGCATAGTATTTTGGGGTTAAAATGAATGTCTTGAACAACATGATTTGTCTAGAGTGCAGCTGGGCCTAGAATAAGTGGCAAAAGTCTTGGCGCACTCTATTACCTTTTTCAATTTTCCTATAACTTTCACTTATCCCCTCCTCTCCTCCATTTCAATATTTACTAGAGATAAGGAGGGGGACTTTCTAGAGAGGAATTGGAAGTTAGATTTCTGTTTTTATGCTAAGTAGAGGGTTGTTGGCCACCCAGCAAGGAGAGGGGTGTCAACTTACTTTGCCACTTACCAAGCAGAACCACACATAATGTACTGATAAACAGCTTTGATGGGAAAAGAGCAAGCCATATTTAATGATTCTGGCTTACAGGTTTTGGCAGCTAGGAAAATTGCATTGAAGGTATTTTCTTGTATCCTAGCTTTTGTTTAATGATCCTGGCTTAGGTTTTAGCAGATAGGAAAATTGCATTGAAGGTATTTTCTTGTATCCTAGCTTTTGTCTTCACCAGCAGCACAACAACAACTTTATTTTTTCACCCCAAAATATACAAGAAAGAAAAATTTATAATAATAATACAGACAATGATAGGGGCACTGGCTGCCTGAAATAACCTAAGAGTTAAAAATGCCAGGTAGCCACCACCTTCAATTCTAATTGTCGACCATTTTTTTAATTTCTTGTTAGCGCCTGTTGCAGAAAAAGGCTCAGCTGTACCATCAGGTTTGGCAAGTCACACAGAAAATGTAGACCCACTGCAAGTGGATGTAGGTGATCATGATGGGTGAGTAGAATTGTCAGCTTGGCAGAATTTGACAGGGATGCTGGCTGACAAACATTAGATGGGAAAGGATTAAATATAGCATGATTAAAAAACTGAATGAATGTTTGCCAGCTGTTTGTGTTTCCTCCCAAATGATCTAACACATGCAAAAGGAAACTTTTAAAACCCTTTATTATGGTCAAGAGATGATTTAACCTGGCAACTTATGTCACTCAGTCTGTTGGAAACTTTGTATATGCAGTTTTTAGGGTCCTAGAGATTCATCAAGAAAGGTAGATTAATAAAAGTGAATATGATTTTTCTTTCTCACATTGAATAAACTCAGGTTGACATTTGGTGATGATCCCATGTCTACTTCTCCTGGACCTGGCTGTTCAATGTGCCACATCCCTTATTCTGATGTAGACTTACCATTTCCTATATCACTCACAAAATGTCAAGTTTGTAGGTAAGGCTCAGTAAAGAGATGATAAGATTGCTAACAAAGAGGGTTAACATATTCTCATTTTTGCATCAAGAATCTTACTGTGCATGAAATAAGCCAAGATTGTGGGGAATGTGGGGGCTTAATCCTTTAACTCCCAAGATCTGATTATAAATTCTCCCCTCTAGCTGCCACACATTTCCTTGTAAATAAGATACAAGAATTTGATGTCAGATCAAGATTTTTTCATAATAACTTTGATCTGATAAGTGTGAATATTATCACGACCTGTTTGCTGGATAATCTTAATTTATTGTAGGGAGAAGTTACTTGTTAATCACTTCTGGGAGTTGAAAGGTTAACCATTTTACCCCCAGGAGTGATCAAAAAGAAATATCTCCTAATAATATTGAATAAAAAGATATTCAAGATAAAGGGCGATGGGAAGAAAGGAAATTATAAATTTGGGAACATTGTTTGATTGACACCAAATTCTTGAGGCCAATATGTATGTATGGAGTACAGTGCAGAGAATTGATATTCTGATCTTCATTGTTGGGTGTTAAAGGGTACCAAATGGTTGGTGCATTTAACTCTTTGAAAGATCTGGCCTGCAGACCCGGTCTTTGTCATTATGTTGTGCAAGCAAGACTCACTTCACCTCTCTCCACTCAAGAGTATAAATTGCTCATTTACTATTGATCAGGGGAGTTCAACCAAACCTGTGGAAAAATGAGTGGTATCTTGCCATGAACTGTCTGTATCCAATCCTGGCAGTGTTAGTTGTAATATTCCCTTGTATGGTATGATAAGAACACTCAATGGTACACTTTATTTTTATTAGCAATCACTTTTTTGTAGCTTTTAAACAACATAATCTTTTTTTTTCACACAGACTCAAGAAAGTTCCTGATGTAATATTTGCCACAACTGAACCACCAGTTGAATCACCCATTGTTGGCAGAGGTTGTCTACTCCAGGCTCGGTAACCATTTTGCACTTTTTTTAATTAACCAGATTTTAAAATTTATCAGATGAAAACCAAATTATACGAGATACCGCAACAGAATTAACTTACTGAGTAGTTTAAATAATTGATTTTAATAATTATATTAATAAAATTTAGGAGTTTTTGTGATTCTCAGTGTAGGAAGAGGAGATGTGAACTGTAAAATATATTTGTCCAACAGTACAATTTGAGAGACAAACTCTGGTTTCATTACAGCATATCTCTTAAAGCAAGTTAGCTGCCAATGTTGTTATTTGTAGACTTGAGATATTAGGGTATAACCAGTTGTCATTATGTTACTTGGATAAAACAGAGTTAATCACTCTCAGAGGGAAGATTCAGGGGTTAACCTTCACTGACTGTTGTTATGTGGGATGCTTGTGGCAAACCACTTAAAAAAATTTGCTTGAGTGCTTTCATAGTCAGATATGGAAATCATCCACATGCTTGTCATGAAGTTGAAAACTGTCGCATCACTTACTGGTATTTGACATGCATGATGTCTTTATTTTGGTACAAAAGTTAATCAGAAAAGCTCATTCAGATTTCCCAATGCAAAAATAATTTCCCTCCTCTGAATTACTACATTCTCAGTTCTTATTACACATGACATTCCTTAGCACTTTTACCTGATCCCTTATGATTCTTAGTCAGCTTCAGGGATCAGTGATATTTGCAACTTATCTTTAGTTCACATTTCACACGAACAGCAGCATTCCATGTAAATGTCCTCAGACATCTTGTTGATATCACATTGAATGAATAAATTGTAGACCACAAAGATTGTTTCCCATGGTCCTAATATTATAGTCTTTGATGATGTTTATTATCTGATCTATTCCAGTGTTTGTAGAACAAAAAAGAAAGAGAAAGGTGAAGCCAATGCAGATATTGTTAGTACTGTAAGTAAATACACTGACTACATTACACATGCTCAACAGTTCAAAAACGTTTTTAACCTGTGGCTCATGATGTCTCTTCATACTCAGTGTCATTTGGCATGTCACATTGAACCTTTTGATCTCGAGAGTGACTAGCATCTAATTTCTCCTTACAACATCACCCCTGAATCATACAGTAAGGTCATGAGAATAAAGGAAATGATCTCCAACTTAAGAGGCTCTTGATTGTAAAACAAATTCTCCTTGTCAGTACCTAAGGAAATGTATAGATATTAATATGGAGAATATGCATACTGATGTTAGGGTGTAAGTGGTTATTAAACAATTAAATATTGTTTTATGTATACAATTGTTCAGGGAACTAGAGCAAGGGATAATTTTATAGTTATTACCCTGATATCTTCCAACCAGTTAATATCTTGTCAAGGGAACTATTTCAAAGGAGATTGTATTTTGGTTCCTTGCTTTACTTCTTGTACTTTATTATGATTGTATTCATGACATTGCCTCTCTACTTCCAGATCTTACCATTTCTAGAGTATGAACTTCACCAACAGCTGTTAAACAAACTTAAGGTAAGCTCAGCCATGTGTTTGAAGTTTTTTTGCCAACATCAAGTTGGATTGAGACTTCTCTGGACAGTCATAATGTACTGATAAGGCCTTGAGCATCTTTTTCCTTACTCCTCATATCGGTTGTTTTCTGTTCTTATGTCTTAATTACTGGCTTTACAGGTTAAGGGGATGAATGCATTGTTTAGACTTCATCTTCAGATATCAGTAGGAGAGAGCCTGATCATTGGAACTGCAGTAAGCTCTTTGTTTTTTTCTAATAATAGAAAATAACTATTGACAGAGGAAATTTAGAGAGATGAGAGCCCTTTGCAGAAGTCATGCCCTTGACACTTGACCTTCACTTAGGAGGTTCTTGTTAGTCTTGGAACAATCTCTACTGTCATCATTGTAGTGGCTGTCACCAGTAGCGCTGTGTTAATTGTGGTTATACACAAGTTAAGTGATCTCACAGCTTTCAGTTTATGGTCTGCTCCAACTTGTGTAGCATCCTGCTCTACAATGTTCTTCCATTATTTACAGCATCTTGTCAGCTACTACTTTCCTCTCCTCAGCCTTCTGTTTATCGTAGCTTTGAGTAGTCTTTTCCAAACCATTCACTTGATTCAATAATATTGGACATAGATTTAGAGGATTCCTTGAATTTTAACAAAGTGATTTGTTCAGTACAATGGAATTTAAAGAACAATTAATTTCAATAAATCCTTGACATAACAAGAAACCTTGAAAGCTGCTTTTGCTAAGAGTTAAGTTTTTATTTCAAGGTAAGAGTATTATTGAAAACCCAATATTTGGTCATTTTATTGCACCTCCAGTAAGAGGTGTTCATGTTAATTTGTACCACTTTTGGTACTGAGGTTCTTCATTAAATTTTTTCCCCTCCAGTCCTCTACTGCAGTTTTTCTGGCAGCTTTGCCTACACCACCATTACTGAAGATTACTGGACGGGTATGTTACTCAGTCATTTCATGCAGGTGTACATCAAATGTTTTACATTGTATAGCATTATTGCCTGATACATGATTGCAAGTTATATTGCCATCCATATTGTTCTCTATACATTTTCAATGGTGCGGATAAGGAGGATTTGTCTAACAATCAAAAACTTCTTGCATTTGTGATCATTTCCTTTATTCTCATGACCTTAATGTGTAATTCAGGGGTGATACTGTTGGGAGAAAGGAGATGCTTATAAGGGTAAGGAAGGGTGTAGCCAATCCTAAGGTTTGAGGGTGGGGTGGCTCATCAACTTAACATAGGTCATTGTATTGCAGTGACAACCATGGGCAGTCAATGAACCTAGTCCAAGAGCACTTTTAGCCCCAAAAATGATTAACTTGCAACTTCTCCTTGAAATTCCACCATGTTATCCTGAAAACAAGTAAGGAGAAGAGACAGTCCAATCATTTAGAGGGTATTATGTTTGTAACACCAAATTCTCCTCTTACTTACATGGAACTGTATGGTAGTCAGTTGGGAGAAATTTGGATCTTGGGGCCTTAGCAACTTAATCCAGAGTTCAAGGGGATTCCTCTTTAGCACAAATGTTTTTCATTGATACATTATACAGAGGACAAAGCTAAGTTTAGCTCTATATTGTTTTGTCATCTACAACAGCGTCTATCTGCTGAAGAAGATAAAAGAATTGCTGAGATCCAGAAACAAATTGTGGAAACAACCAACAAGAACAGGGCCACTTTCCAACTTACAGACACTGTGCATTTAGTAAGGATTTTAAACTCTTTAGTTCCTAGAAGTGATCGACATGTAACTTCTCCCCATAATATCCCTACATTATCCAGCAAACAGGCAATGAGAAAACTCAAATTTATCATGTAGAAGTTGTTATCTTGATCTGTTACTAAATTCTTGTTACAAATTCACAATAAAATGTGTAGCAGCTATGGGGAAGAATTAACTATCAGATCATCCCAGTTGCATTTTTTTGTGCACCTGTGATCCACCCCACATCAAGTGCATCAAAACACCCACAGCCAGATAAAGAGCCTTGCTGCTGCTGCTGCTGCAAAATTGCGTTTAAGTTTTTTGCGAGTTCTTCTTGTAGCTTGGAAAACTCCTGAGTAGAGTCATGCATACTTTGTTGGATTGGACCTATCAACTTGATAATTCTCAAAATGTCTAAATCATTTTTTTTGAAAAATGATTAAGAATTAACAAATTGATTCTCAGATATGGGAGTGGTATGTAGAAAGAGTCTAAATTATGCCAATGGTTTTTGGTGGGTTGGTGGCTGAGGTGTGAAGAAGGAAAGTAGGTGTCTGTTAGCTACACTGATTTATAAACATCCTCACCTTATTCCATTTGGTCTGTAATTTCCATAGGTCACTTGAGTGAGTTGTGTATGCAGCTTTTTCTTAGTAGTATTGTTGTCTTTGTGTCGCAACTAAAGACGAGCATTTTTAGGTGCACAATTACTCGCATGCATTGGTTTTTTCAAAGGCTAGCTTTGTCGTTGGTTGTCTAAACAACAGATAAAAAGTAACATAACATATAGCAGCAAATTCTGTCAGTGTTAATTCTCAATATCAAGTGAAAACTGAATCCAATCATGACTATGGTATCTTATTGGCATTCCCAAAGATGATAACCAAGAATACTAAAGTGGATAGATCATTTATTAGTGTTGCCCCTTGACTTCAGAATATTCTCCTGAGTTCAATATGATCTATTTTTAGTTTGAATATATTTTTAAAAAAACTTTTAACTATTTTCTTTTAAGGAAGGCCACAATACTTTTCATTTTAAGTCAGTTAGTCCAGATTCATTAATAATGAAAAAATTTAATATGCATCGTCATGCACTGTTTGAGAAGCTATTTTTAAAACTTTGAAATTGTAATTTTCAAGCCTTTCTTAATGTGTTATTTCAATCAGACATTGTAATAAGGCACACTTGAATATGTGACTGCATAGAACCTGGGTAGTATAAATCTCTTTTAGTTATTAATAATTATTATTATTATTGTAAGTTGTTATTTTAATTAAATATGAGGAAATTTTACTTGCAGCACACTCCTAAAGCAACACCACCTCCCAGTCCATCACAGAATGCTCAGTCTGTTCTTGTGGCTGATATAGACCTGGATGAGGGTCCTAAGGCAGAGTTAGACTTGTGCACAGGGTCCAAGGATGCATATGTTGTAGAGGTAAGCTGGATGTCAGGGCTCTCAGTCCCAGGGTTAACCTAGTTGTATTTATTTTTGTTCACAGTGCTCCAAGCTGCAACAGAGTTTGTTGTATTCAGCAAAAATTGTGTCAACCAGATATATCGCTCAACCCTTAAACTCCCAGAAGTGATCAGCATGTAACTTCTCCCCATAGTAACTGTACAACATTCAGCAAACAGGAAATAAGAATACTTAAACTTATCAGGTAGAGGTTGTTATCTTAGCTTGATCTAATGTCAAATTCTCATGTTAACTAATTTACAAGGAAATGTGTCAGAGTTATAGCATAGAATAAACAATTAGATCTCTGGATTTCATTGGTTAAGTCATTAATTTGGCCACCCATATCCCAAGGTCATGTAACAAGCTTTAATGTTATTATTTCTTAGTATGTGTGACCTAAAGTTAAGCAGAGGTAAACATTTGTGTTGAATATCATACATACATCATCATTTTCTTTAATTTGTACAAGTTTGCTTCTTTGTTTCCTTGATTGTGCAACCACTATAACCCATGAACCTTGTCAATACTTTAATTTTTGGTATTTCCTTATTATTCTAAAATTTTGGAGGCATGTCTGCACACTTTCAGAACATAACATCTGCTTGTTAGGTTGATGACAAGAAGGATGAAGATGTGGTGGCTGTTTTGTTGGATGAGCCAGCTCCTGATGGTAAGTGTAATGTATAGACAAGGCTGAAATTAATGTGGAAGCAGCCTAAGTCATGCTCAGCATTCCTGATCTTACTTATGATCCTCTGCAACATACAAACATGCATGCATGAACTTAGCAGCAGCTTTCTTATGGCTAGCATGTGAGATCAAGAGGTGGGGAACTGAGTTTTGGACGGTCAATTTTTGTGTTCTTGAGCAAGATACTTTAATTTGTAATAGCTTCAGTGCCCCTTTGCATGGTACTATTATAATAATAGCATCAACAATAGTCCCAACCCTTTACGCCCAAAAATTATATTTATATTCTCCACTCCAACCTCTTTATATCTCACATCAAGTCTTGGTTTACTAACAAAGGTACTGGCACTTTTGATTGTCAATGTATCTTTTTAATTTGATTAACACCTTCCCCTTCCCAGGGTGTTATTCCTGCAATACTGAAACACTACCTGGTGCAGTTCATCTCAAATCAGGAGTAAAGGTACAAGTTAGGACTGTCAAAACATGCCCTCGTGTGTCAATTACAATAGGCCATTTTACAGTTGTGTACTTGGTTGCCAAGCCTTTGATTTGGAGTGAGGCCTAGGGTGACCTTGTTGTGATAGTGACCAGTATCTAGCTTGCATGATAACAAAGTAATTTGAATTTGAAAAGCAGCAAGGTTTGTATCATAACAAGGTCAACCTTAGCCTCACTCCTGTTCAAAGGCTTGGCAACTAAGCACACAACTGTAAAATGGACTATTATGTTGTTCTACTGTATGCCAATGATAGACTTTATTTCTGGAATTGGTCTTAATTAGATGATAACAGCAGTTCAGAGAAAAGCACTGAGTGATGAGGACATAAGAACCAATCAGCAGTTTGCCAAGTTGTTTGAAGACACAATAAAGGTTGGTACTATACCAGTGCTTTAATTTACTTTATCTCTACCCATGTATTAGTTTAACATCTTTGTAAATATTCACCATCTCCTGGTGGAGTTTTGGACCATCACTCATAGCCAATGAAGTTTTTATTTCATTTTCTTTCTTTTAGCACCTCTCTCCATGGAAGAAATGGTTGTCTGTTGCAGGCAACCCAAAGTGTCTGAGTCAGTCAAGGCTGCATTTGTACAGAACAGAATTTTGACTTTTCTTTTTTATGAAAAACACAAATTCAAATGCAGCCATGGGAAGCTTGTATTCTTTGTTTGTTTTCTACTTCATCATCTGTCACCATCATAGAAATTGGCAACAAGGTCACCTTCAGCCTCACTCCAAATCAAGGCTTGGCAACTAAGTACACAACTGTAAAATGGCCTATTCCCATGCATGTGTTGACCACCATTTTGATTTTTGCTTTTCAGAGTTTCTGGTTCAAGCTTCGTAGCAGATCTCCATGCTGTCTCTCAAATGTACAATTTGATATTGAAATACCAGAAGATGACAATATTCAGGTAACTTTAATTTAACCCTTTAGCCTCTAAGAGTGACTAGCATCTAATATCTCCTTGCAATATCACCCCTGAATCAAACATGAAAGTCATGAGAATATTGGAGATGATCACAAACTAAAGTAGCCTTTGATTGGGAAACAAATTCTGCTCATCAGCCTCTATCATTCAATATCATTCTTTACCCAGGTGGCCGTAACAGGTGTGGCTGTTTCTATAGGGGAAAGAGATAGTGATGAAGGACATATTTTGAAGTTAAAAAGAAACATATTAAGTGACAAATGTAAGTAACATCTAAGTTTCATTACTGATTCAGATATGGAAAGTTTGAGAGAAAATTAGAACTGAACATAGTTCTTGGAGTCACAAGGGACCTCAAACAAACCACAACAGGTGACAAGGAAGTGGCAAAACAAAAGATTTATTGAGCAGAACATCTGCATGTGTGTTTCAAACTTTGTACATTTTTCAGCAATCTTCTGCAAAAAAATTTCTGTGGTCTGAGAATGTAAACCCTGATAGAAAATTATTTACAAATAAGTTTCCATTTGCTGCTCACATGGTTATGCTGAAAGTGAGCTGTGGTGTTGTAAGAGATGGTAAACACATCCAGCCATTCACGAAATACTAACAAAAAAATATGAATTATTATTAATTGATATCTTCCTCGACTGCTAATTATAAGGTCCCTATTGCTAGCCCTGCTGAAAGACACTGCAGACAGTTTGGTCAACAACAGATACACCTGGAGCTCTATGTTACAGTAGTTCTAATATTCCTCCAGTCTTATCCTCCACAGTATTTCTTTTTTTTCCAGGAGTAGTCCTAGTTCAGTTATTGATTGCTGCATGATCTCTTTTCAGCCCATTCCCACTCTTTGCACTCTGAAAATATGATGGAATCTGATGATTTACTTTTTCCCATTGAGGAGGTGGTGGACAATGCAGCAGTGGAGAAACTAAAATCAGAATCAGGTGCTTTAAAGTGAAAGAAACTAAATTTCTTCTACGTACTTCCCAACTCTCACACCCAAAGATCATACACATCTACTTCATTGTAGCATGCTCCTGACCACAAATTTCTCAAGCCTAGTGAAAAAACATACACTTCTCTATTTCATTTTCTTAAAATAGATTATGAAAGATAGGCATATATCAATGGGAGAAAGCAAAAGTCATAGTTTGTAATTGATTATAGTTTCCCCAATACATATGAATGTAAAGGAAAGAATACTCAGTAAATGTTTTGTTAGAACTGTATACATGCAGAATATCTTTAAAAATCATCTTCAGGGTCTTTTTTATATGATCCTGTACAATCAAGCTTCATGAGTTTGAATAAAAAAAATTAAAGCCCTGGCTTATATTTCAGACCATGTTCAACTACAGTGCTTCAATATTTTCAGCTTTGAATAAGTGCTAAAATATTTTGCATTACAGATCCCATTTCCAAAAGACGGCTTGATTATCCTCTATGTGTAAAAACAAAGGTAAGCTAGATAATTCATACCCGTTGGTTAATGGCTGTCATCCACCATGAAAATAAGTGATCTACTTTTCTATTTCAATGAGTGACTTTCATTTTGACAATTATTTCCATTCAGGTTCTTTAAAAAAAAAAAAAGGAAAAAGAATTTGGTATTACAAACAATTTTGATGATATTTTTCAGCAGGCCCCATATCGCCCTGCAGTGGAGGTGACATCAATGTCCTACTTACCAAATACACAAATTGAATGTTACCTTGGCAACATCAACTTGTTCTTAATAAGAGAAAGTCATACAGTACGCGAGGTAAAGACAAAGCTTGGTTGCTATTTTAATATTCCAATTTTTGTTTCAATATTATGATCCTATGGTGAATATAAAAGTAATCTTCAGAGTAATAAACACTACTTGAGCAAAGTGAAAATAAGGCTTGAAAAAAAATTCAGGCCTGTACTGGTCATTATGATGGTTCCAAATAAACTCACTGCTCAAGTATTGTTCATTACTGCAAAGATCGCTTTTATATTCACTTCCTTATCCACAGTTCACATAATTATATGATTTTCATATATTCACAGTCAGCTATGATCTTATAATCAATTGTAAGTTCTAAACTTCATATTTCTCTTTTCAGAATGGTGGTTTAAATGTATTCATGCAAGCATTTGTTGCTGAGGCTCAAGCAATTCTGAGAGCACATGTCCTAGCCATTGGAGGAAATGCTCTGGTGTCCTACCAGTTAAATGAAATTGTTTTATTGGATAATCCTCATAAACATCAGGTGGAGTTAATAAATTTTTAACCCAATTATAATTGTAAACACAAGGCACATTGTCATAGTGAAGGAAATGTTATCACATCACAGTGAGAGCCACATTCTCAGGATGAAAGCAAATGATGCATCAGACAAGCTTGCTTGATGACAAAATCTTTTACTTTTATTGTTGCCATGACCTTTGACCCCTGAGAGTTACTAGCATCTGATAACTCCTTACAATATCACCTCTGGAAATATCACATTAAGGGTTTTGAGATCAAAGGAAATCACCAACTAAAGAAGCTCTCCACTGTTCCACAAAATCTCCATGTTAGCACCTTAGCAATTGTGTAGGGATCAGTATTGAGAATGTGCATTCTGATGTTAGGGTGTCAAGGTTTAACTTAGTTGTAATTGATTTTAAGGGACAATGCTTACTTAACATAAGTGGCGATGCTGTCAGGGTATTTTATGAGGATGAAGACATATTGGAGACATCAAGTCGAGGAACACCTCGTAAAAGAACTGTCTCATACTCGGAAGCCAATTCTCAAACACCAATCCATATTGTACGGCAGCGATCCGTCTCTGCCTCAGAAACTTCCACTAACACACTGATAGCATATGATCCATGCTATGGGACAGAAATATAGCACATAAAGCCTTGTAAATACCAAGCAAACTTAGAAGGGTGAAGTAGAGTTGGCTGGCTAAACATTCTGTTGTGTTTGCTCCTGGAACTCTTGCAAGATTAAAGGCTCTTGTGAGTCAGCTCAAGAAATGTTTGGACTGGTGTACAAGACAGACAATGGAGAAGAAATGGCAGCTTTGGAGTACTGAGAGAGTTTGGCAGTAGTACCATTTCAATTTGAAATATATTCAAAACTGGGCTAGCTTGCAACACAGAAGACTTTACATGAAAAACGTAGAAATTAGAGTTGTTTCTCTGGAACTGCCATGCATACAGCAGCAAAATTAACCTATTGACTCTGAAGCATTTTGCCTGCTTTTGCACAAATTATGACTTTTAGGAAACCCCTTTTGGTTGTGACTTCAAAGAACAATTATTTAGAGCCCCTCCAGATTTGTTGATTAAATTAAAAGTTATTTGCAGGCATTGAGATGATAGTTTCTTGTTAAGTATCACATGATGAAATCTCAATAAAATCAAGATTAAAGATGAACATCACTGAAGTGTTTCCTTTGTGTATGTAAACATGCCTGCATATGGGATGACCAGATTGAAATTTGTTGGGTTCACACCCAAAGAGCTTAACTTTGCTCTGTTATTGATCCCGAAAAAGTTGTGCCTCTCTCTTAACCAATCAGATGCAAAACCAATCACAAACTGATCGCCTGTGTTTTCCAGCACTGTAAGTGGTTTGTTTACTTTTAGTCTGAGTTCTCATTGGCTCTTGATTTCTTTGTGATTACTTTGGTTTCAGTTTTTTGACACTCAATCAAGAAGTGCTCCACATATAAGAATAATTCAAACCAGAGAAATATGGCCAAACACTAGCTAAAAAAAATCTTTATTTAAAAAAGTAAGAAGAAATAAATGTTCATCCTCTAGTAATTATAAAACTGTACAAAAACCATTTGATAAGGTCATTCAAGGCATGCTTTGTCTGTAATTTGATCCAATAACTGCCAAACATATCACTCTTTTAAACATACAAATACTGTTTTTCATTTTTTATCACATCTTTTCAGATTTGTCTTAATTTATTAATTCTTTTTTAATAGCTTTTAAATTAAAAATTAAGACATTATGAATGTTGTTCAAGAAAATTTTGCATGCTGTGCATGGCTATGTTTCAGTCTATTTATTGACTAGTACACAGGAACCCCATTAAAGGAGTCACCAACGGGCTAGAACAAATTGGCTGTATTCACCCTTTAACTCCCATGAGTGACCAAGATAGAACTAACATTATAAGAATTGTATGTTTTACAGTAAGAAGAATTACAAATTTGATCTGGGAGTTAAAGGGTTCACAGGGTGTCTGTATTATTCTAGGGTCAAATTTCATACTTGCTTCTTGTTTTGCCAGAGCAGCAGTTTGCATCAAGACTTGTTTCCTTTCACATGTTTGTAAATGAAAATAAGGAGGAATGTTGCACTCTTGCTTACCAAATTCATATAGTAAATGGGCTGTTCCATCAGTAAATGACAGAGATCAATGAAATTGACACATCACAGGCACTTTGATTTTCCGAATTTAGGGCTAATGACCTTAATAATTGGGGGGGATTATGAAATATTCTACTGTTTTTGATTTTAGAATGTGGCTGTTGACCGTATCAGTGAGTGAAATTATGAGACCACTTTGCTGTCCCTGAAAAAAGGGGCCATAAGGTGGAGTTCCGAAAGGAAAGGAATTTGCTATTTTGCATTAAATATTGCAATGTAAGTTTATAAAAATAAATAACAAAATTGTTTAATTTTAATTTTCATCTCGTATGTTAAGTATAGGGACTGTTTATCTCTCCTTGATTGCCATTAAATTTAGAGGTAGAAAATATTAACTTAAAATAATTGTTAATTTTGAATTAGGAATTTACAAATTTCTTGCTTTTTATTTATTTATGCTGAAGCTTTGATTCAGTCTATTCATTTATACATTGATTTACCGGTATTAGTAGTATATTTAGAAAAAAAAATGATTATTTCTAATCATATTATGAAATATGTATATGGCCATAAATTAAAAATTGTTTCATTTTTCATCCCATATGTTCAGACAGGTATTAATTATTTGCTTTTCATCTTGACCATTGCAGTCTTAACTAAGAGGTTAAACAGGGACAAATTTCTTGCCTCAAAAAAAGAACAAAACAATAAAATTTACCAGGGCAATGTGGGTAATTGGTTGTGCTGTAATAATTATAATTATTATATCATACACTGATGAATCATTAAAAGAAAAACGATAATAATTATGCAGTTCTTTTTATCCTATACTTTCAGATAGGTTTCTTTGTGAAGGAACGTTATCTAGAATGTCTAACTGAAGACGACTGTACCTTTCTCGATAACTCAACAACCCTAAAAAGCAAACTCCAAGACCAGAGACTGTTACCCAATTCATCCAACGCACGTCAGACTGTGGGGTCATAAAAGCCACATAGAACAAGAGTAAAACTACATTTCCAGCAGTAATTATAACTCCTCCAGCAATGCCTTCTCCAACAGGATAAATGCACTCCATGGCAAGCTCAAAATACAATGGCAATGTGCCATTGTACACAAACCCACCAAAAATGATTGAGCTGTATAGAAGTGGTTTTGTGGACGGCAAGATTCCTGCACAGGACAAACTGAAAATCAGCTGGGAAAGTGTTGATAAAATTAAGAGCATGGCCAGTATTTGTTTGGTTCTGTGTCTTATGTAATCTGCAAACCTACAAAATAGAATAAAACCAAGTGCCTGTGAGTTGTTTATTAGAGAATGGCATACAAAAAGGTAACTGTAATCTTAAAACTGCATGGACACATCAACTTTGTTGCTAACTGCAAATTTCTTCAGCCAAGAAAAAAAATTCATGGAGTTCAGGATGATATGAAATGTCCACAACAATTTATGGTGATATTTGAATAAAAATGAAAACACCAGAGCAATTCAAATGGAATTTCTAAAAGAAAAGGTTTGTATTTTTAGGAAGTTGATGGAGATGTTGGTGATGGAGGTGTGGCAAGCATGATCCAGTGATGAAATAATATCCAAAAAGATCATTAGACTGCATGCTTTGCCAAACCAATCATGAGCAAACAATATTTCTGTACCAAAGGGTTAAAGGGAGATGTGAATCCTATAAATGTTCATTTTCAAGGGTTCAAGGCCCCCAACCTGCCCCCCACCCCTACCCCCCAGTTTCATCACTAACAAAACCAAGAAAGGACATCCATAGAGGTCAAACAAATACCTCCAAGATACCACACTCATTCCTATTGAGATTTAAAACACCATATTAGGAGCATGGTAAATAATTAACTACCTGGCTAGTGCAATCCCAGAAAACACCCCTGCCAGGGTAGCAGAACATCCCAGCCATCCTGCGGTAATGTCATCCACACCAAACTTTGCAAGGAATACGTCCAGCATCGACAACCATCCAAAGTAGATTCCGAACGTTAATCCAGTTAGTGTTGCTAACAGCCAGAAAGGCCGATTTCTTGTGAGGTTTCGAAATGAAGTCTTAGTGCTAAGTCTCTGAGATGTGGAAGATGTGAGACTTGGAGGAAGTGGTGGTCTTGCTGGAAAATAGAGAAGGACGCAGAAAAAAACAAGCGCACATAGCCCAAGTTCAAAATACATATACTTTGTCAACTGATAATCTGCTAATCTTGTCAGTCTTTCAGGGCAATCAGAAGAAGATGAATTACTTGCATTGCTTGGCACAAACTGGCTTGGTACCATGGCAGGTCCAATGGCAAAGGACTGAGCAATACCAAAATACCCAGCTAATGTAGCAATTGCAGTGGCTGTGGTGCGTTCCCCAGGAGGAAACCAGGTTGCAGACACCAGGGGGGGTCCACCAATGGATACTGGCCCTCCAGCCATGATAAGGAACTGACCTATATTGATGACAATTGTCCTCACTTCCTTGTCATGAAATGGTATAACATGAAAGACCTTCCCAAGCACTGACAAAAAGGCTGTTAATAACACAGACACTCTCAGACCTACCAACAACAGAGAACCAATGTTATTCACAAAATTGGTTTTTAACACAGCCATTGCACAGCTAGTTTATACCATCCACTATCTCTGTAAAGGCATCTCCATAAGAGGGACACCTCTTAGATGGAAAACAACACTTTGAAAGCATCTAAACAAGTGCTTTTAAAAATGAAAAATACTACAATACAGAAATGAAGGTGGTTAATATGACAGAAAAAGTGTTTTTTTGACAAATATTCCAGACAAACCTCCACAGAAAGTCCTAATCTTCCCATTTGGACCGAATTTAAGATGAAGAAGGTAACCCTTCTCCCTGATCACATTATTGGAAAAGTCGCTCGGCCCAAAATAGGCAAGATGAGAATAGCAGAACAGGAACAATATAAAAAAATAAATAAATAAAGCAAAATCCCTTGAATTAAATTAGTAGCCAAAGGTAGAGAGTTCTTCCTAACATCTCACAAGTTCAGCTTACGCAATCAAGCCCCTACCCGTCGTGGGCTAAAGGGAATCCGTCTCAATCTTCTTTTCCTAGGTGATAAAGTATATTTATGTCTTTCGAACGTTTAAAAGAGGGTGTCATCCCAGAATCAACCAGATTCTTTTCATTTTGAACAGTGTCGGAAGTAACTGCAGAATATCGTGTAACCCGCGTTAAATCTATGAAAAGATCTCACGAAGATTGTGATGGTGTTGTGGTGGTGTTGTATCGTGTTGTATTCAATAATTGCGAAATATTTAACGCACAGAGCAACAAAAATCTTTTTGACATCAGATCAAGGCGTAAATAATCTTACCATAATACAATCGTAAGAAAGAAAATTCCGAGGTAGAAATGAGACAAATAAGTACCTTGACCTTGTATGTACTAGTTAGCTACAGTTCTCCAGAACCAAAGCACAAACCTTTGGAATCCATTAACCACGTTAGTGGTACCGAAGTCACTATGAGTGAAATTGCAGCCCAGGAGGAGAGCAAAAGGATATCAAAGTCTGTCCAGCCAAAGGCAAGTTTGGTCGGTTCTTGGATAGGAGCCCATGTATTCCATGCCATGTTATAGACGTACGCATTTGCTGTAAAAACGAATAACACATACCACCTCCGCTTATAAACTTTAAATCTCATTTCGGTTATTGAAGACATTGATGACGAAGTGAGACGCTCGCCGTTTTCCAGAAGAGTGGTTCTCTCGTTCGATTCCTCCATTTCTGTAAAGTACTATGCTGTGCGGAAGAAACCGAGATGAAATGTGTTTTGTGTCTGCCGAAAAACTAATGTTATACGAAACAACACACTTATTGCGTCATATCCGCTGTGGAAGTTTACGTAATGCAACTGTCACACAATACCACTACGAAGCTGGTCACGCTGAACGAGTACCTCCCGATCGAGGACGAAAACCTGAATCAACCAATCAGGAGCCCTTATAAAGGGCTCCTGAAAGGACAAGTTTGCCGGTTAAAGTAGCCTTACGTGTCTTCAGGGAACTTTATTTAGCCTCGACTTCAAGTAGCATTTGATCCAATTCTAAAAGCTCGCGTAAACATGTGGTAACCTGTTCCAGGTTCTCAGGCGAAGGAGCAAGCGAACGGCACATGGCGCTTGTAGTTGTCAGGGAAACGGCTACGGCTCATTTCATATTTTTTTATTGCCTGACCTAGTCCAATTTTCACACACCTTCCCTTTATGCTTACTCAAAGTTATGTCAAGATGAAATATTTTAGCTGAAGGTGCAAACAAAAACGAACAGACGCAATGATCAGTTTTGAGAGCCAGATCTGAAAAGTTATAATTAGTCTTTAAGTGATCTTAAATTAATTCCATGACAGAGCTTACATATAACTGTTTTTTTAAATTGAATGACCTTGTAAAAGAGCAACAAATCTATGCAATCTGTAGGCTGATAATTTACATATGTCAGTTCCAATTTTCTCAGTAGGTGCCCTGTTCGTCATTGTTCTTTTACATTAAACTCGTTCATACTCTAGCGCGTCCGCTAATCTATTCAATGCGCAACCTCACAGAGAAAACAATACTTCGGTTAATACCAACGTTGTTTAAATGACTGGACCGTTAATTACCGGACAGTAAAAGAAAACTTGATTTTAAAGGAACATTGATTGATTTTTGGGTTTCATTAAAACCGTATTAGACTAATTAGGAAGATGTGTTGTTTTCTTTGCTAGTTCCAGTTGGATGAGCGCATAACACCACGACAAACATAAGTGTAGGCCGGAATAATCGCGGCATGAATAATTGCCATTGTGGCGGTTCGATTTGTTTTCAGAAGGAAGGTGGCGTATCGTGGTTTTGTTTATTCTCGCCAGGAACTGAAATTTTTGTTCGATGTTGTGCCAAGGTCTGTTGACAAGGAAATATCACAATACACTGACAAAAGCACTTCACGGCTATCAGTCAAAAACATGAAGCATTGACGTATGGTGGGCTGCATTTAAATGTGTACTCTTGGTGTAGTTATGCAGCACGAGCGTAGTATCAAAGACAACACGGTAAACGTTTCAACAAAAGTAGAGAAAATACTTGATCAAGGCGAAAAAGGACCGGAGACAGTTACTAGGACCAAACGCGGCCGAGTGCGTTTATTAAGAAGATGCACATCACAGAAACATTTGTTGGATGAAAATCAAAAGGATGGCGGCGAGGGGCGAAACAGACAAGACTCAATTATTTCGTCCACAAGTAGCGGTTTGTTGTTTGTGAGGCCGCTCTCTAGCTCTACCAAAAAGCAGGGTGCACCCGCGCTGTTTCCCCGCCCCAAATCAAGTCTCATGGAGGCGTCAGGAACTTCAAAAACCAGGAAAGCAAGTGACTCTAACTCTGATCGATTAACGAGAAGAAGAAGCTCAAGCTCGTCGTCGTCAAAAACCTCAGTGCCGTCTGAAGTGAGGAGATCGAGCTATTTTAGCTTACAGGGCCTTCGACGAACAATTGCAACTGACCATGGAGAAGCGAAGCAAATGAAAAAGAAAGGGTCCAGAGAAGATTTCGGCCGGTTTTTTAAGGGAATGGTCACAGTAATAAACGAGGAGGAGATGGAGGAGAAACGACAACTGGTTAGTTTTAGTATCTCCTTAATTTAATCACTTGATTAATGGTTCTGGTTTTTGATAACAAGCTTTATTATGCGTTGCCACAGAATTAATGCGTGACCCCGTCCTAAATAAATCTTCCCATTCTTCTTTTGGATTGAACGCATAAGGAGATGCCGAGTGTCTCTAAAACTGTTTTCAAGGTCATTTTGAAAAAACATTTTTTATAGGATACGAAATATTGAGAAATTAGGCAAGCTAAACATTTGGAATAAATTGGTTTTAGCAACTGAGCTGATGATAAAAATTGACTACCGTTAAGAGTTTCTTAAGCTAACGACGTTTCGAGCGATAACCTTTCGTTAGAGCAACGAAGTGGCCAATGTACATTATCAAATCAGTTGTTAAGATCGAATTATCTTGTAAATGGCCCTTGCCGACTCAGCACGACAGTTTCTTTGGAAACTTACCCACTTTCTTCATGTATTTTACATGCAGAAGTTTTCTTACACCTATAGCAGTGCCTTAAATTTCACTGCCTCTGATTCCCTAAGTGTTTCCATCACTTTTTGACAGCTTTCCAATACCTTTATGGTTAGATGAGCATCTTAGTTGACATTTGTTTCAGCACAAATAAATCTATGTCGGAGTTTTTATTGACATTTGATTCAACAAACGGAGGCACCAGTTAATAGGCTACACTGGCCTTTAATTACTTTTTAATTGCCTGCGAAGTTTGTGTAACCAACAAAAGACAAAACATAGTGAGTAAACAGAAACCTGAAATACGACAGAAAATGTACCAAAAGCGTACAAGAGTAAATCATTTTGTACTTGGAGAGATTTGATTTTAAGGAATCTCTGCATCGCATGGCAAATTCCATTGCTCGTTCTGCGTGCGTGGTAGTTAATGCATTTTGTGATTATCACAGCAAATGCATTTTCTATCATTTCATCTTAACAAAGAACAAGAAAACGCGCGGTCGCTATTTTGAAAATTATTTTTTTCAGTACAAAATAACAATCAATCACAGACGCTTTGTTGATCACTGGAGTGCTACTTCGTTCCTGTTCTGGAATGAAATCCTACTAGGCAGGATACCAGGCTTCTGATGTGCAAATGCGATGTTTGACTTTTTGTTACAAGCAGGATGTGTATCAGAGTCGTTGCTGTTTGATAGAGTGTGGTAAATCCACCAAAACAGAGAAATCACAATCGCCAATCAGAATAATGAAAAATATAACGAGAATCCAATTAAAGCCGAAACCAAAAGCAAGTGCTAGCAAACGGCTTAAAGCGCGGGAAACCGCGAATGACCTAGTCGAGATCGATTCGTTGAGAAAATGAAGCGAGTTTTCTCGAGCAATTGCCGAGTAAAATAAAGTAAAACCGAAGCAATCCTGAAATACTTTCGGCACTCAATATAAAGTTACCCTATTGTAGACTGGATTTCGTATGACCGTCTCCAAGTAATCACGTGAAAGGCAAATCATACAAAATAACTACAACGAGAAATCAGAGCAGATACTAGCAAACTGCCTTGCACTCAAGGCACGGAAAAAGCAACCGTGAATTAATTGGTTTTAGTTTTGCATCTAACTTGCGATCAGTCCCTCCTTTTCGCCGGGGTCCATCTCGCAAGTAAAAAAAAAAAGTAAAATAATGGGAAAATAACAAGAGCCCAAGTAATGGAAAATAATTGATGTTAGCGCGCCACACTGAATTCTTTTGGTGCCCTTTCAGAATTCCGCGCTGCGCGCTAACGTCATTTCTTTACTCGCTGATCTTTTCTGACTCACGTAACGGACTTCCTCGAAAAAGAGGGAGTACTTGTAATCTGCCGAAAAAAGTGATGAACGTTTCTAGACTAATCAGAGAGCTTAGTATAGGTGAAATCAAAGTAATTCTAAATTACTTTGAATTTTCAACATCAGTTTTGTAAAGTGGTAAGTAAGTCTTTTTTTTTCATCTTTTCAGGCTCTTTCAAGGTTTCGCCGTGCTGTATATCTGATTCGCATTTTCAGTTCCTTATGTCTTAGCATCAGACGATATGCTGACCAAGACAAATCTCGACAGTATGATTTTTACTACATTAGAGACATTTTAATGGGAGACGATGACGGAGGAACTACAGTGAAGGAAGCCCCCATAACTTTCAACAAAAACCTTTTCTCTAGGGATAACACGGTAAAACAATCCTTGTATGGCAAAATTGTCCCCCTTGTAACAATTATGTTGTATGAAAAGCTTGCGGTTAATAGTCATCGTGGCGATTACACACTTCTATAATGAGGTATATTTGTGTGTCTCACGATGTAGTCGTTTCCGATGTAGATCGCAGTGTTCAGATTGCATACTACATGCCTACAACTTAGGTAGTCTGCGAGCAAGCCGTTTTCATAACTGAAGCACCTCGGCACGAGTGTTTCTTCGCCCGCGGGAAGGATTAGGCCTTGAGCAACGCAAGCCATTAAGAGATCTGTAAGGGGCTTAGGGACCTCTCCCCGACTTGTCTCAAATCTTCCCGCGGGTGGAGAAACGCACACCCTGCAGCGCTAATAATAAGGCCTTTCTCGCAGGCTATCTTCAAGCGATAAGGGTTGCAATCCTTTTAGGCAATCTAAATCCCGATTTTACGATCCAAAATTCAATTTTCCGTTCCATTAAGGACCAAACCAATCTAAGATTGCAATCTGAGCGATCTACCTCCGAACTTCGATCATTCGGATAGGTATCTCAATCTGGTTTCAGATGTTTGTTCCTTTTAGCTAAACCAGCCTGGATCTTGATCGTGCTAAAAAATTAAAAGGACATGGCCGACACCAGAGATAAACATGGAGGGTCAATACGTGAATTTTCAAGTCATTCTAGGTTCTTGACAACTGCTTCGTTCCTCCAGAAATCTTTGTGGAAGTTGAACTTGGGTGTTGAGAGTAGGTCAAAAAAAGTTGGAAATTCGCACCCTAAAGTCCGTAAAACGGCATCTATATTTTCAGTTACGCAACGTAAGCATCCGTCCGAACTGCAACATTTCTGTACGTTTTGTTATGCTTCTCAAACATCATAAAAATGGGCAAGTCATCTACTTTCAAGATGGTTTTCCTGTATTTTTCTGTATTTCCTTTACAAACTCTTCTCGTAGGGAGTGAAAGGCTAAAGTCGACTGGGTACACATCATCTCTAGCAATCAGTAACGATAATTAGTG